CGCCAAGCCCTCAAAAGAAAGCGTACCGCCTCTAAGTCTCCACTCCGCCGAGGAGAAGGAGACTCGACGCTCCTATCAGAGTCTCTTCGGCTCCTCGGATGAAGAGGAGGAGAAGGAGGAAGAAGAGGAAGAGGAGGGTGCCATTGTTGAGCCCCGGGAGGTCTCGAATGACCCTCGACCAGCAGCAGGAGGATTTCCAAGCTGCCCAGCGTGTGCGTGGGGGTTCGGTGGCGGCACCCGTCAGCCAGGGAGCTGCCATCAACTCAAGAGGGTATTGGCCTCCCGAGGAGAGCTCTGGGGCTGACCTCTTCTTAGAGCTTCTCGTCGCTCCTCGTGGCCTTGTGGGCGGCCACACTTCTAGGGGCATCTATGAACGAGCCCTTGTTCAGAAAGAACAGTTGTTCGTCGACAACGTGGAGGCTGCTCGGTGTGTGCTTCTCGCGCCACACCGCATTCCCCTTAAGGACTTCACGACTTGTCGTAAGAAGCCCGAGACCCGGGGTGGTCTCTATCCTGTTTGGGGATACCCCTGGGTTATGCCCGAGAACTGTCCCACATGGAGTTCTTGTGAGGACATGTTCTGGGCGTGGGTGGAGACTCTCAAGTACTCGCCCACGGAGTTATGGGAACTCCATGAAGATCAGCAGCTGTCCCACATCCTGGACCAGCGTGATCTTCGTGTGAGGTTTGCCCACTTGATCAGCAAGCGTATGCTGCCAAGGGACATCCTGAAGCGCGCGGCTTCTAGCGCTCACGATGAGCGCGGGTACGGTATGTATTCATCATCCGTACCCCGTTCGGGCAAGAAGCCCCGGACTACTTATGAAGCTGCCGCCGCTTCTGTTCCCAGATTGCGACAGCCTTCGGGCAGTCAATCAGGAGCCGTTCAATCGGCTCCCACGAGTTCTCGGAGTGGGCATAACCCCTCCACTTCACGAGGAGCTGTCGCTTCCCGCGACACCGTTGCTCCTGGAGGATCCGCTCCACGTGGAAGTGGACTTCTCCATTCCGGTCAAGCAGGGGCGGAGGTGCCCTCGTACGAGTACGAGTACTCGGCGCCTCCCGAGAGCCACTCTCGTTCGAGTGCTCCGACTGCGGGTCCGACACGGGACCCTGAGGTTGACCGCCTCCGTCAACGTCTCCTCGTGCTTGAGATTGCACTTGGCCTTGGGACTGGCGGTAATGCTGCCGCCCAGGCCGGGAATCAGGGCGAGCTCGCTCGTCTTGCGGGTCGCATGGACCTGGTGGAGCGAGAGGTCGCGAGCCTGCACCTGCGGGTGGACCGCCGGGCCTCTTCGTCCGATCTGGACGAGGCCTTTCGCATGATCCGACGGATCGAGGCTTTGTTGCCACGTCCGGAGCCGCCTGCGGCACACTCCCAGACGTACGCGTATGGTGCGTACCCGGCGTACTCAGCGTACTCGGCGTATGGCGCCGGGGTCCGTTCGTATGGAGCCCCTCCGGCGTACGGTCTTGACCGCAGCCTTGCCGTCCCGACCGAGGCTTGGGTGCCTGCTCCGACGCCCTCGTCGACGACTGTGACCGGCCCTCGCTTCGAGGAGCTGGGTCAAGGGGGGTCTG